ATTCTGCTTTGACCTCTTCAACAATGGACCTCTCATGAATCCAGTCACCCTTGTATATCCATTTGCTTCTGGTTTTCCACATATTCCACGTCAACACAGCAGATAAGCATAATCTATCCTTTTTTAATTGGGAAAATTTAAATCTATCCAATATGACCTATTAAAATTGGCCATGTAGAGGTACTAAATTAAAATATTTGAATAATTAAAGATATTTTATTATTATTTATTTTCCATGCATGATATTCATAAAGTAGACAAGGCTTCTTATGATAAATTGAGATGGTATTGTAGTACAGTGCGTGAGCCAAACTCAGGAAGCATTGCCGATTGTGAGATTGACCCTGTCGGGAATACGTTTCTCCGATTGTTCATTTATTTCCATGTTTGCCTTGTTGGTTTTTTTTGCCAGATGTCGACCTTTGATATTTCAGGATGGTACCCACATAAAAAATATAAAATGTTGTCTGCTTAGTGCTATGTGTTGAATGGAATTTTTTTTTCTAGGGACAGATTGAAAAAATGAAACTAGGATTGGGGATTCATATATACATAGCCCTAACTTTTGTCGTATATTGTTGGAGTTGAGTTGTTTCCATCCAAATAAAGCAATTGATACTTTGAACTGTAATTTTTATTCATTATAAATAAAAAACATAAATAAATTTTGAAATTTTATGAGAGACAAGAGGTAAGTCATTGTTTTTTACTATATAAAAATTGTCATATTCAATGAAAAACTCAATGATAATATATTTCAATGAGACTTTAGAAGAATATTCTAATGGTATAACTTTCATTGAAATGATTCAATTGGCAATTCAAACAAAAATACTTCGTTGGAATAAGTTTTCAATTAGAGTTTTAAATAAAATTTGATGATTCAACATCTTTTTATTCAACGGGCGTGGGAATTTCCGTTGCGATGTAAAATTTGTTTTTGAAAATTTTATTTTCACCCACATTTCAACCGTTGTAATCGTCATAATCAGACGAAAATTTTAATCAAAAACTCATTTCAACGTAATATTTTACTGGAACTTCTGTTGGAATCTATTGAAAAATTTCAACAGAAACAAGAGCATTTAGATATCATTGAAGATCCCATTGGAATTCCATTAGATATATTTTTGTTAGAATTTCATCATTTTTTGTTAGTGTGAGAGTGGGGATTACCTAAAATTAACCATTGATGGCAATGAGTCAGAGTACTGTCGGCAAATG